CACCTAGAGGCCGCCCCAGATCACCCCCCAGAAGCCAGCAGTCAACTGCAGAGTGGATTCTGACTCAGACCCTGTAAGACAGCAGTTCTCAACCGGTGGGTCTTGACCCCTTGGGGGTCGAACGACCCTTTCACAGGGTCGCCCAGGTCATAACAGTAGCAAAGTGACAGTGATGAAGTAGTAAGGAAACTAATGTTCTGCTTCCTCACGACAGGAGGAACTGCACGAAAGGGTGGCGGCATGAGGAAGTTGAGAACGCTGCTGTAAGAGGACGGAGCCTGCCTCCCTGGGGAGCCCAGAGCGGACTGCAACATCGGTCCCTCTCGGGGCACTCATGGGTTCCAGTGCTGGCCCCTCCGTGAGCACTGACCACTGCCCCACGAGGCTCCTTGTGCACACGTGCTCACCCACAGCCACCCCACAGGACAAACGTTTCTGATCATGGGAGGACTCCGCGGCAGTTCGGAATGCCGCCGCGGGGGTGTGGGGACCGTGGAGGGTCTGTTTCTTGCTCTTCTCCTGGGAGGGCGACGCGTAACCTCGACATCCACAAAACAATTCCTTTTCCAGAATGTCCGAGATGACCCTACGACCACCCAGTCCTGTGCTTCACGTCCCTCCCTCCCCGCCCTCCCAGCACCCTCATCCTGGACCCCAGCCCGCTTCCAGCCCCTAGGATGAAGGCCCCCAGAAGTGGGGCCTCCTCAGAAACACCTCTGAATTCAGACCCCCACCCGTCCCCATCAGCTCTGTCTTGGCTCAGAACCTCCTCACTTCTTTCTGGACCCTATTTTCATTGAGATGGATTGATGGACAGATAGATGGATGGATACAAAAAGTATCAAGATCACCAATTAAAACAGAAGCCGCCTCTTTGTAGGCAATAGGTTCCAGCCTGTTCCCCCAGAAATGCCGAGTCCTTGGTGTGTGACCAACCGTGGCCCTTTTAGGTATGAAGTCGCTGACGACGACTGGGCAGTCTGTCATTCCCCGGTGCACACGGCTGTGAGCGCCGGCGCCAGACCTGGAATTCAGCCTCCCGTCACAGAGCGGCTGCTCCGCACCAGGCACCACCGTGGCCCAGGGCAGGGTACATCCGTCTGGCTACTCCCATGCAGGCGCTGGTGTGCCTGCTCTCCACACTGCTCTGCACCCAGCTTGTAGGCATGGTCCTTCAGTCGCCCTGCCAGAAGACCCACGCTGCCTCGTTCTCAGCACCATGAGCTCCTCCGTTGCTCTGCGTGGCCTTTGCTGATCTCATCCCCCCCACCCCCACCCCTGGGCAATGGGATTGCGTCTGTCTTTTTGTTCCTAAGAGCAGCCCTGGTGGCATGGTGGTTACACGCAGGGCTGCTACCCGCAGAGTCAGCCGTTCAAAATCACCAGTCGCTCTGTGGAAGACGGATGAGGGGCTCCACCCTCGTGGAGTTACAGTCTCAGAAAGCCCCACAGGCAGTTAGTTCCCCGTCCTCCAGGGTCGCTGGGAGTTGGAAGTGACCCGTCAGCAGTGAGTTTGGTTGGGTTTTGACAAGTCTGTGGAGATCTTCCTGGCACCAGCGTCCCTCCTGGCCACCAGGGCAACCCCGCCATGCACAGACCCTGTCACAACGTGACTCCCCGGCGGCGAGGGCCCCATTCTTCAGCTGGGCCCAGACCCACTGCCCTCGAGTCGATGCCGACTCACGGCGACCCTACAGAGTAGAAGGGCCCCTGGGTTTCCGAGACTGCTAACTCTATGAGAGTGGAAAGCCTCATCGTTCTTCCACAGGGCGGCTAGTGGTTTTGAACTGCTGACCTTGTGATTAGCAGCCCAACACGGAACCATACACCACCAGGACTCCTAACCAAAGGTTCCCACCAAAACAAAAAAAACCTGGCATCAACCAAAATTTTCTTACCGCTTTCCCCACCTCCCGGCCCCCAAGCTCCACGCTGCAGGCATTCAAAGGGGAAGGGACAGAAACAACTCTGCCGACAAGTTGAATTTGATGCTCGCTCGGCACCCCTTTGTGTGGCAGAGGGAGCTGCCGTGCCCCAGAGGGTTTTCAAAAGCGGGATCTCAGGCCTGTCTTGCGAGGCATTTCTGGGTGCACTGAAGCCCCAACCTTTTGGTGAGCAGCTGCGCGGGCTGATTGTTTTCAGCCCCAGGGACTCCGCTCCAGACATTCTTCCCACAAGCGCCCCGCGCCCCTCAATGTCTGCCCTCCTGGTGACTCGTCCTCCTGCCATCCCTGCTACTTTCACTCTGACCTGGGAGTTCCAGCCAACTGCTCGATGCCCCAACACTACAGAGCCTTTCCAAAGCCCTCCCGGGGGCTCCATAGGGCTCTCCTTCTGAGCAGCCTGGCCTTGGGACAATCTGTGAATTTGTTTTTGTGTCCTTAGTACTTAGCACAAGCCAAACGGATGGCCACAGGAGTCACAGTGACCCCATGGGACAGAGGGGAACTGTCCCCACAGGGGGTTCGAGGTACAATCTTTCCAGAAGTGGACTGCCACGTCTTTCTCCCACAGAGTGGCTTGCGAGTTTGGTGAGCAGCGGAGGGCTCACCACGTGAGACCACAGTTCTTAGTCCCTAGCATACCCACTGCCAGCTCCTAGTAGCCCTACGTAAGGTGTCCAAGAGGGTCAAGCTTTCCAAAGTAGACAGCCTCCATCTTGGTCCAGAGTGGCTGGTGGGTTTGAACCACCAATCTGGCAGTTGCCAATCCATCACCTGACCCACAGTCCCACCAGGCCTCCTTAATAATTAGTACTCAACCCAAACTCACTGCCATCGAGCCAATGCCGGCTCATAGCAACCCCTGTGGGTTTCCGAGACTCTGACTGTTGACGGGAGAAAGGCCAGTCTTTCTCCCAAGGAGCTGCTGGTGGTTTCAAACTGCTGACCATGCAGATCGACACCCAACTCATAACCACGACACCCCCAGGGCCCCCAGTAATTAAGACAGCACCTGCCCAATAGCAGTACAAGAATGCCAAATGCACGAGTAAACTTAAATAGAGCTCGACCGAATAGCTTGGATTCCCCACACAGAAGGCAGGTAAGCCCATGGCTACAGAAACGCTCAGAAGCTTGGAGGCCACAGAGCTCAGACCCAGAAAGTGAAAAGATGTTTCCCGAAGCTGTGTTCACATCTCCGAGGAGGACAGGCACCAGGTTTTAGGCAAAATGATCTATCTGTATCAAAGACAGACATTATGTTTTGTCAGTTCTCAGGTGCACCACATGCAAAAGACTGTTATTTCATATGGTGATGTCTGCACTGTATTGGGTGGCGTTGCCCTGAGCGACACCGTTTCCTCAATTTACATGTTTGTCAGGCTCGCAGCGCCCGTCCAAGGCAGCCGGCTTCATTAGCCATGGGTCGTCCTGCGGCCCTCGCATGGTGGGTGGGGGACACGGGGCAGGCCCTCAGCAGGGCTGCCATTCCTAGGTTACTCTCCTAAGGAGCCCTGGTGGTATAGTGTTTAGGCATTGGGCTGCTAACAAGGTCAGCAGTTCAAAACCACCAGCCACACCTTGGGAGAAAGACAGGCTTTTTACTCCCGCAAAGAATTACGGTCTCAGGCTTTTTACTCCCACAAAGAATTACAACTCACAGGGGAGTTGCCCTATAGCAGTGGTTCTCAACCTTCCTAATGCCACGACCCTTTAATACAGTTCTTCATGTATGGTGACCCCAGATGTAGGCAGATGGATAGAAGAGCGGTGTCTTGGTTTCTAAGACCATCAGAAATACGGTCTTGGGCGATCCCTGGGAAACGGTAGTTCAACCCCCAAAGGAGTCGCGACCCACAGGTTGAGAACCGCTGCCCGATAGGGTCGCTGTGAGTTGGCATTGACTTGATGGCAGTGAGTTTGATTTGGGGAGGTTGGTTCCTCCTGGAGAGGTGCTAACGGCTAACATACTCAACTGCTACCTGAAAGGTTGGCAGTTCTAATCCACCAAGAGGCTCATCAGAAGAAAGGCCTGGTTGTTGATCTGGAAAATCACCCACTGTCCCCACTGCTGCCAGGTTCAAGACTCAGCTTGGTGCTGCTGTAACTAGCTCCGCACCTCCTCCCATCAGCCAGATTCGTTCCCCCCACCGCCACCCAACCCTTACTTACCTGGTTCCTTCAAATGGAGAAAGCAAGATTATGTAATCCTGTTACTTCTGACTGACTTGGCAGATTGAATGCTAATGAAAAGGCATTTACACTGAAGTGTTATCTCCACGAGAATCTCAAGCCCTTTCATTTCATTTAAAGGGGTTCTCCCAGGTTCAACAAGTGTTCCGGCATCAGTGAACAGACAAGTAACTGCCGGGGAGGAGGTGGCCACGCCCCTGAGATCACATCGGAGGCTACAGGGCTGGACTGGATGGACAGTGATGACGCCAGTCACGTCCAGGTGGTCACAGATGGTGGAAGCCTGTTCCCGGCAGAGAGCACAACATCTCTGCCCTCAGGACCAGAGGATCCCAGAGGCCCAAGGCACACGCTCAGTGGGCAAGCACGGGAGTCAGCCTTGGGCCTAGGCCCGTCCCTCATCTGTCCTTCCAGAACCTCTCCTTGCTACCTGAACTCTACTGTGGGAGGGGTGGGCGGGCAGCATGCCACCTTCCCTGTGCACAGGGAACCCTCTGCACCAGGATCTGCAGGTTCAGATGCTGCAGTTCAGTCGTGATACTTTCTAACACAAATTCCTCAGCCCCGGTTTTAAACCCACTTGCCTGCCATCCTTTCCTCCTACATGACGACCACCATTGGCGGTGGGGGGCCCCTGGAACGCACCCAGGCTTTACGGAGAGCGATGAGTTTATGCGGACTGCTCTACTCAGGACTAAAGATGTTGTGGTGACCTGAAAGGAGCGCTCAGGCAAAGGCAGAGCCACCTCATGCATTCAGGGAGTGCCTACTGAGCACCTACTCGAGGCTCCGATCACTATGCTGGGGATAAAGCCGACAAGAAGCCACCATCCCCACCCTCACGGAGCGGAGCGCGTGGTCTAGTTGGGGAGAACCACACCACACCAAACTCGTTGCCTTCAAGTCAATTCCAACCCATGGCTACGCTACAGGACACGGGAGAACTGCTCCTGTGGGTTTCTCAGACGGTAACTCTTTACGGGGGTAGAACACCTTTCTTGCTCCCTGGGGGCTGGCTGGTGGTTTTGAACTGCTGACCTTTTAGTTAGGAGCCCAACATGTAACCACGATGACACCAGGGCTCCTAGTTGGGAAGGAAAACATTATTTTAAAACAGCAACACATGGAAAGTGCTAGCTGTAGGCATACTGGTCACTTGTTGGGCTGCGATCTGCAAGGCCGGCGATTCGAAACCACCAGCCGCCCAGCAGAAGAAAGAGGAGGCTTACAGTTACAGTCTCGGCAACTCACAGTTCTACCCTCTGCCAGAGCGTGGCCGGGAGTCGGAATTGGCTGGAAGGCACTGAGCTTTCAGTGTGGGTGGGGGAGTGAGTTTAGAGAGTTTGCTGAGCAAACAAGACAGTCGTTGCAAAGAGTGACAGTGTATAATTAAACGGAAATCAAACCACTTCTCTTTACCCTTGACAAGAAATGTTTCCCCCTCGGTGAGCTGACAATGGGGCTCACTCCTCCACTTTCCTGAGCCGACCTGCACAAACCCTTTGGAAAGCGCAAAGCAATGTAAGGCGGTCACCTGTGAACGGGGCGCCCTGAGTCCTCGCGGGGTGGTGACTGGCCCCGGCAGTCTCCTCTCTGGCCCCAAACGGGGAAGGCGTGGTCTCGGCAGGAGTTTCTGCCAGCAGAGAGTCAAAGTCATCCTCATCCTCGTCTAGATCCTTCTTCCCCGCCTCCTCTTCCTCCTCCTCGTCTGCCCGGGTCTCTCCTCCCTTCTCCTCGCCCTCCTGTGTGCCAAGCAGGGGGTCGGGGAGAGTCTGTTCCATCAAGCCTTCTGTGCCCGAATCCAGCTCTTTAATGATTTGGTCGTACTGGGCAATGAGGTCTTCGCTCTCCGGGTCCAGCGCAGGCAGCCCTGCATGGAGCTCGGCCTCACAGGCAGGTGCGTCAGGGCCCACTTCTGCAGGGGCGTCCTCATGGGGGCGCTCCTGAGGCATGGTCTCCATCAGGTCCAAGCTGGCCTTGGCGTGCTCCTGTCCTGGGTCTGCTTCGGGCTGGGGGCTGGGGAGCGGGCCGTTGTGGACGGGGGCGCGCTGGTCCTCGGTCTGGGCTGAGGCCGGGGCTTCCCCGGGGTCCTCGCAGTCCTTGTCTGCACACAGCCGGTACACCATCACGTCATCCTGGAAGTCCAGCTCCTCGATGTACGACCCTTTGAAGAGCTGGATGGCGCTCTTCTTCATCTCCTGGATGTGTCTGGGGGGATCGATGGGCGCCGGGGGGGTTCCGGGTGAGTTCGCGTCGGCCCCCGAGGAGATGCCCGTGTCATAGCTATCATCCCACTCCAGCTCCGTCTGGCCCTTGTCCTTTCCGGGGGCCGGCTGCGTGCTTGGCTTACTGGGGAGTGGGTACTGGAGCATCCACACGGGGAGGGCGGGGTTCCTGCTACCCTCCTCGCAGAGGCTCCGGAGGAAGGTCTCGGGGTCAGGGGAGTCCCCGTCGTAGAGGGCGGACCAGACGCGGCAGTCCCGCATGCAGTGCAGGATGTTGGTGTGGGCCTCCCAGAGGTACTGCAGGTAGCTGATGTCCAGGGCTTTGCCGTACTCCACGATGCAGGCCGACGGGGATGAGGTGGCGGGCAGTGGCGGCGCCTCGGGCCCTGCAGGGGAAAGCAGCAACAGTGAGGAGGAGCCCCGGACTCTGACCGGGGTGCCAGGACAAACAGCGTGGACCACAGGGGACTCACTCAGCTTCGGAGACTGGCTCACCAGGGACCTGTCTGACCAAGTGATTTCTGAAGTAACAAGGGGCTAGATTCTCCAAAGCCGAGAAAGAAAAGGTAGGAATGGTAACTCTGCACAGATAGAAACTAGGCATCCCCGTGCTCGCCTGTCAAATGAACAGTTGGCAGTTAAAGTCTAGCCACCCAGGGGTGACTTGGAAGAAAGGCCTGGCAAACAAATCGGTCGCTGAAAGCTCTGTAGAGCCCACTTCTCTGGCACACGGGGGTACCCAAAGTTGGCCTGGCCTGGCACATAATGGTGACGGGGAAATGGAAATGTTAACAAGCAACCCAGGGGGCTAGATCCCGGCTACGGAGACCACAGCTGCTGTCCGGCAGCGGCCCCTGGCAGATCCTCGCCAAGTTGGGTGTGTCTTTCTGTACGGAAGTCAGGGTGGGAGCATCTATGAAGACAGCAGCTGGGTTCACAATGACCTGGGGCACAGACCGGGGTGTAGTGGGGTGCAAGGAAATGGGGAATTCACAGCAATGGGGACAAGAGGGAAGAAAATGTTCCAAAGTTGATTGCGATGAATATACAACCCTTCTGAATATGATTGAACCACGGAACTGCATGATGTGCTAATTATATCTCAAACTACTACAAGGAAAAAAATTGCTAAGCATGGCAGCCCCTCGGTTGTTGGGTTCCACTGGGTGGCAGACCTGGTGGACTGCAGTGCCCACCGTCGTAGAGGTCATGGTTAAAGGGCTTTTTAAAGGGCTTGGCCAGTAAAAGACCTAGAATCCATGTTGGCAGTTGAGGTTTTTTAAAAAACAGAAACAACCCCCTTGGGGTCTTACTAATGACGACTAATTCATTCTGCCTACCTAGCAGGAACGCTGATGGTGTAGAGCCGTGGTTCTCAACCTTCCTAAGGCCACCACCTTTACACAGTTCCTCATGTGGTGGTGACCGCCCCCCCACCCCAAGCAGAAACTCATTTTTGTTGCTACTTCATAACTGTCATTTTGCTACTGTTAGGAATTGGGCGACCCCTGTGAAAGGGTCATTCAACCCCCAAAGAGGTCTCAATCCACAGGTTGAGAACCGCTGGTGTGGAGGGTGACAGGTTGGGCTGCTGTGAAGCAGCCGTTGGCAACTACCAGCTGCTCCCTGGGAGGCAGACGGGCTCTCTGCTCCCAAAAGGAGTCCCGGTCTTGGAAACCCCCAGGGGCAGTTTTACCCTGTCTTACAGGGTTGCTATGACCTGGCACAGACTCCAAGACTATGCGGGTTTTTTTAGTTTGGCCTCCTTGGAGACTCCTGGGATGCTGGTAAGTAGTCCTTTTAACACAGTAGTGTTTCCTGTGTTACTAAAGCACCTCTGACTGCTTCTGATATTAAAAGAGCTCATTCTCAATACCGAGATGAATATGAAAACATCTGCACTTAATTTGACATTTTCCCTACGAGAACTTCTTCAGACAAGGAATACTACAGGTGCTGCAGGTGTCAGCGGCCACTGAGCTGACCCTGACTCATGGTGACCCAAGTGTGCAGAATAGAGTTGGACACCGATGAGTTTGCAGGGCTGTGACCTTCCAGGAGGCAGATCTGAGGCCTGTCCAAGATTGGGTGAATCTGACTCACAGTGACCCAGAGGACGGAGGAGAACTGTGTCACAGGGTTTCCTAGTGTCAGGCTGCTAATCACAGGTCAGCAGTTCGAATCCAAGAGCCGGTCTGTGGGAGAAAGATGAGGCGCTTGCTCCGATGCAGACCTACAGCCTCATCGAGCCACGGTGACGGCTCTTCCCTGTCCTACAGGGATTCTCTGGGTCAGAATAGCTTTCTTGGTTGCTGTTGTTATTAACCTTTACGAGAATACAGAGCAGAGAACCGGGCCTTTCCTCCCACAGTGCAGCTGGGGAGAGCCAACTGCTAGCAGCCAGGCATGTCAGCACTGCCCCCAGGCTCCCCAGGTTGCCAGGGAGCAGAGGCTGGTAAGCGAGGTGGCCGAGGGCACCACTGCACAAAGAGCACAGGAGGGTCGCAGCCCCTCTGTGGACTGACTCCTTCTGAGAGGCCCTCATTAGGCGAGCTGAGTAAATTAGATATCATTGCCATTTAAGAAATTCCTAGTTTTATAACAATATTGGAGAGAATATCAAAAGGTATTGCTACTAGGATTCCAGGCCACGCCTGCAAGGGCGTGTTATAAATAAGACATGCTTCCATGTGTCTCTGGGATCGGTGGATGGCGACAGACAAGCGGCCGCCATCATGGGCTTGTCTTAACCTAGTTAGGGTGCCTTCAGGAAAAGACAAAGGTCCGATCCAAACAGCGGCCTCCACAGGGTCAGCTGGGCCAGTTACATCCAAGGCGGAGCCATCAGCTCTGACGGCTCTTTTTGACAGTTTTCGGGGGCCTCTCCGAGGATAACCTGGATAGATTTTCTCAAAGGAGGGCTTTTTCGGAAGAAGTTTTTTCAAAAAACACTGAAAATGGCACTGTTGAGGGAGAATTCCAGGAAAGTTTTGCAGCACTGAGGAACTGGTGTCCGGGCTCAAAGCACACTGAGAAGAAAGATAACTTGAGTCGCTTAAAGATACCAAAACTGCTGTTTTTATGTTATCAACGCGTGCAGATTTTTTCTGGAAGGGCAGGAGCGGTGGGAACACAGCCTTCATAAGCACATAGCCCTAGGTGGCGGAGATGTCAAGAAAAACAGCTTCACATTTGCTGTCCATGCTTAATAAAGGTACCTATGATTTTATACTTTCTGACTTACCCTGGTATTGTGATAGACAAGCCAGTCACAAACATGTCATTTGGGAACTGAAAGTGAGGGCTAATTTTATATTAGCTTTAGCCCCCCCCCCCCACCATCACCACCCCGCCCCTTCCCCTATTCTGTTTCAGAGATGCGCTGGCACGTGTTTTCAGTCACTGAGAGGGCTGCTAGGACGCACCTTAATACAGAGATCTGGGAGCGCTAACCATGTACTTCACCTGCCACTGATTGCAAAGTGTCTACAACTCCTGATGATACATCCATGACCCCAACTGTTCACTGCTCTCACGTCAATCCCGGCTCACCGCATCCTTACAAGACAGACTAGAACTGCCCCTGTACGTTTCTGTAGCTCCTTGCAGATATACAATGACTCATCTTTCTCCTGAGGAGCAGCTGGTGGTTTTGAACTACTGACCTTGCAGTTAGCAGCCCAACGAGCAACCACTATACCGCCAGGGCTCCTACTAGTCATTTATGACAGAAATGGGACTCACTGCATTATCTCCTGCCTACTGAAGAGTCCGACAGCCCAGAGAGCCGGGCTTAGGCACCCACCTGCGCTCTCATGCACACACTTGGACCAGAGGATGAAATCCCGCTCTTGGTGGCCCAGTGTCAGAGTGATGCCGCTGGAGCAGCAGACCGGGGTCAGGGCCAGCAGCTTGGCCGCAGACACGGAGTAGCAGTCTCTCTCCTTCACAGCCCACCGCTGACTCAGCATCATGTGGTTGCAGGGGATCAGATACCTGGAACAGAAAGAGCCTACATCAGTCTTTGCAACCATCATTTCCTGCTAGGGCCCTCTGGAAGCATGATCAGGGCCCGTCAGCCCTCCTCACCCATCCCAGGTAGACAGCAGGCTTCACCCTGTGACTGAAAGTGTGTCAAAGACTTTAAGTCCATTCTCTTCCAATTCCATCTGTCCACAAACTTTGCCAAGTCCCCTGGTATTAAAGCTGCACCCCCATGTTCGTCGCAGCACTGTTCTCAATTGCAAGAAGATGGCAATGACTCCCATGCCCACCAGCAATAGAATGCATAAGGAAACTGGTCCACATGCACCATGGATTTCTCTGCATTGTTCCAAACAACGGTGACACCATAACACACTGCAGGGCATGAATGCAATGGACCTGCTGAGTGGAATTGGTCAGGAAAGGTCAAAGGAGTACTGGCAGTATAGTGGTTATGTGTTGGGCTGTGAACCAAAAGGTCAGCAGTTTGAAACTGCCACCCAGAGAAATTTGAGGATTTCTACTCCCTGGAGACCCACAGGGGCAGCTCTGCCCTGATCTATAGGGTCACTATGAGTCAGAATCAATTCAATGGCAGTGAGTATTATGGGGATGTGGGGGGCGGACAAGATAAAAAATTTTCACCCCCAAAGGAGCAGACTTTGGTCAAGCAGTGGGCTAGAGTGTTGATGGGTGTTAACTTGGTCAGAGTGGAAGATAATAATAGCCCATAAGGGAGAGAAGAGAAATCAGGGAGCAGGTGAAGGGTAAACTATTAGGGGGGTTCATTAGCAGCTTAAACTATTATATACAAAATTAGATATAAAATATAAATTCCTACCTACGTTATAATTAAAAAAATACTATATGGAAAAGAAAAGAAAAAAAGCACCGTGACCTTGGATCACAATGATGTAGGCATTTGGCTCAAGAGAGGGCGCTCCCGGAAGAGGGCCCTACACCCACAGCTCTGTTGTTTGCTAACCGGGAGCTGTGGCTCCCAGTGGGCACAGAGAGGCCACGGCTGCAGCAAGAGCCTAAGGACCACTTCTCAGAGGCAGCCTGGGTGTGCATGAGGAAACAGAAACACGGCGGCCGAGGGCGCACCCGTGGGCACGGCCCCAGACCACACGAGCAGCTTCCGGCTGGAGGTTGGTGTCGTTAAGCACAGTGAGCAGTCGCACCCCGAGCACGTTGCTGGGCTGCACAGGGAGAATAAGGTGGTCTCAGAGAGAGTGGGAAAGAAATGTGGCGCAAAGCTCAAATGATTTAACCAAGCCAGACAAACTGGAACAAAAGAGAAGAGAGGACCCCCGAGTTGACTGCATGAATCTGGAACCGAGGCTACATGCCAAGATCACCTTGACGTGGAATAGCTGAGGGACACACAGACTATGACCTAGAACCAGGCTGGTGGCCCTCTTCGAAGCCAGAAGATCGATAATGATTCACAAGTAAAGATGAGAAGATAAGGGGGTGCGGAGACCCAGAGTCCTGGACGGGGAACCAACGGAGCTGGGACCGAGGATGCTGACGCCTCGTGATCGGTGCGGTGCACGCAGTGTCGCTGAACAAGATGGGTGGAGATGGTTGAATGGGAACATTCTACAATGTTCTATGAAAGCATTCACCCAAAGCCCAATAACACATTATTCTAAAAAAGGCAAAGAAAAGATGCTATGATGATGGATTTGGTAGAATAGATAAAATGTACTTTCCCAGCTTAGCTTGGGGCCTGTGGACCTCCCGTTGCCTCCCACGCTGCCTGTTGAGCCCAATGAGGAAACCTGGGTGCATGTTAGTGACCCACCCGCAAAAGCCCACCAGGCAGAAGGAGATTTCATTCTCTCCAGGCAACTTTATGCAAACAGCTTTAAAAACACTTCCCAGGTAGGAAATGACTAACTTGCCATTTAACCTTTAGTTCTTTAAAAAAAAAAAAAAAATCAAGCCGTTGCTCAAGGACTCTGGCTATCTCGTGCAGTGAAGATTTTATTTGCCTGTTTGTCCAGGCTGACAAGTTGATCCCAACTCCTGGCAGCCTCCTATGTGCTGAGCAGGAGTTTTCAAAAGCCCACTGCCACGCCTTTGCTTTCACCCACGGGGCCTACGGGTGGATTCAAATCACCAACCTTTGGATTCATAGTCAGGCACATGACAGCTTGCTTTACCCAGGGGAGATGCAGAAAGCCAATCAGCCAGCAAAGCAAGCCCACAGCCATCGGGTCAATTCCAACTTATATCAATCTATATAGGTCAAAGCAGAACTGCTATGCAGGGCCCTGAAGACTACCAGACATCTCATCTTTCGTAGGTTTGAACGGTTGACCAGGCTGATGCCTAGCCTAGAGCACCACTAGGTCTCCTTAGGGGGCCCTTCCTCTCCCTATGTCCTCGGCGTGTACACCACACACTTTAAGCCTAAACTGTTACCACTACGATCCAGACATCCCGCCAGATGGCTGATGGGATAGGATTTTCTTCGTTTAGTTTCAAGAACGTCAAAGGCTGTCAGGTCTAAAGGGCAGACAGGGTGGTATGGGAATAAGAGGGGGTCTGCGCTAATTCTTGGACTAGCTTCAGGGACTTGAATTTGATCCTTATTAAAACAGAGATGGATGTTGAGGGCAGAGAATGAAGGAGATCTTCTCAGGAGAATCTCTGCAAGAAAGAAGTTTTGTGATCATCAACGGAGCAGGGCAAAGAGGAAGGTGGTTTCGTGCTACCTGTGATCATTAGCAATTATGCCGACTAGACAGGAGTCAGGGGAGGAGCAGAGCTCAACCCACCCATTGCATGGCAGCCGGATGACAGCCCCCTCCTTGGCCTCCTATCAGAGTCCAATTCTTTGGCCCTTCCCCTTCTGCAGTAGCTGGGCCTGGCATCGGGATCCTCCCTCTCCTGTTGCATCGTGTGTTGATCCCAGGAGCTGTCAGCAGACTACTGATGGGGGACTCACTCCAGATTTTGGACCTCTGCCCCCCAAATACTATGCTGAATGAAGCCAGTCATTCACACAAGGCCAAATGCTGTATGATCCCACTTGGATGAAATGTCTAAGGAAGAAGGCAAGTCTATAGAGATCACAGTTTATCTATCCACGGTTACCAGGGGCGGGAGGGTAGGGCAGAGGAAGAGGGAGAGAAAGGGAGAGGGAGACGCTGTGCTGGGGACACTGAGCTTCTGTCTCATGATGGAGAGATCAAGGAGCAAATAAGGAAGACAGTGGAGCATACCTTGAACACAGTGCATGTCCCTGAACTGCAGAGGTGGATGTTGCTGAAATGCCAAATATTTTGTGACACAGATTATTTACCATGTTTTTGTTTTTAATCAGAAGAGAAGAAAACAAAACAGAATGATGCTGGGGCAGGAGGCTGTGCATGGACGCGACACAGCTCTGACCCACAGGCACCCCAGCCCCTGCCTGCCTTCTTAGGAGGCCGGCTGGTCCAGCAAGGAGAGGCCGAGCCAGCGCAGAGGGAGGAGCAGGAAAGAGGAGGAGGAAGCTGTGGAATATGTTGGTGGTGGAGTGTATGTATGTATGTATGTCTCTGTCACTCCCGCCAAACAGGGTGTATAAAACACTAACAGAGGGGACTGGTCCGTGTTCGTTGTCACTCTCCTGATGATGAGGATGAGCCATTTCAGAAGCAAGAACAGAGAGAAATCCCAGGACCACCAGGAGAAAAGCCAGCAGCGAAACATGTCTGAGATCTCCTTCTGATGTGGCAAAGGCAGAGAGCAGAGGCTGCAGCTCAGAGGCCAGGGACAGAGCAAAGGAGCCAGTCTGAGACCAGAGGTCGGGGCAAGGAGACTAGGAGACAGAGCAGGCGAACAGCACCAGGACTGCAGGGCTGGGAGGCAGAACAGCAGGCTGCTTTCCTGGCACACAGCGAGGGGGGCCAGGGGACCACGCAGCTGAGAGGCTGAGGACCGGCAGAGACTTGCTGTTGCCGGAGGAGAGGTGTTGCTGTGGACCAATGACTATCCTCACTGCTTACTGATCCTGACTTGTGACCATTTATTAACTTCCCTAATAACCCCCTTAATCGTGAGTAGTACCTATGAGATCCCTGTGGCCAACAGAGCAGATTATTGAGCCTAGCAGAAAAGTAGAGTGCCGTGGGAGAAACAGCTGTCCCAGAACAGGGGAAAGGAAGATGGAGGATGGAGGCCTGTCTGACCTCTGCCTGGTGGCCATCGGCCTAGGGCTGCACGGAGATGGGTGCTCCTGCTCCCTGCGGAGCCAGAGAAGTCAGACACGGCCCCCAGGCCGTTTTCACAATGCTGCTGTGGCACCCGGGCTGACAGATCCACGAAGACTCCTCCCTTGGAGACGGACCCTGCAAGTGCCAGCTGACAGTGCAGGGCACTGGGGCTTTCAGGAGGCAGCCGGAGTGAGCTCCAGACCCGTCTGGGGTTGTTGACATGGATGCTTCTGTCCTCACAGGCTGGTAAGGACCGGGGACATTCACAGCAAACAGGAGTCACTGGATCCTTATTTTGATCCTTAATTATTTAAGAAATAAATGGCTTCGATGCTTTTTATATAGTGCAAGAGCCCCATGAGTGTTTGCAGCTCCAGTCAAGCACATTTCATTCTTCAAGTTGATAGACATAGATTTCTACTCTGTTTTAGGTACATTTCAAGGGGGGCAGTGGGAGGTGGGGGGTGGGGGAGAACACAGGGTCAAACCCAATAAAGTTGTTTATCAAATATCACCTGTGAGTAGCTTGAATGTTTCCTTTATTTTTTTTAAAAAATAAATCACTTTATTGGGGGCTCATACAACTCTTATCACAAT